TACATGGAAGCGAAATAGTTCTAAGAATTAATAGAGGTAGATAAGGACACGTCGGGATTCATAAGTGCAACCAAGATAATAAACGAAAGCGAAAAAAATCTTGGAATTAAGAGTTTTTCCAAGCGCGAAGTCGATGGGAGCACTTCGATCAGAACAGAATGAACTGGCAAAAGGGAGAAACAGAGGTCAGAACGAAGTGGATACGGGTTGCAGTTCCAAGTCGAATTCGACCATTTGTTCTTTTTCATGTACCGTAGGTAGCAAAGCGTTGTTTACTGCCAGATAGCGTGGTTGCTCGTTTTGTTTTGTTTCATTTCATTTAAAAGTTCATGTGGAACACTGCTTCTGTATCGCTTGGAGAGAATGAATGATCCTTTGAGCCATGATGCATGAGCCTCGAGGAGTGAAGAACCTTGCTTCTGGTGCCTTTGCAGATAAGATAGAGAATGCCGGATATTGGCATACAGTACTGTGTAGGTACGGGTACGGTATATTTCCTTTGGTCATTCTACTAGAATGCCACCAGCGTACCTGGTACCACCAGGTAATACTGAAGACTTGAAGGTCTTGGGATGTAATAATAGGAGAAGAGTGCACAGTAAAGAATGATGATACCAGTACCAGGTACCGGTACCAGGTACCATAGATAGGAAGAATTGTCAACAATATGACTACCACGACCAAGCCATAAATTTGCATGATGTAGTCCTTCTTCACCGGCCAAAATCCAAACTTCGAAAATGACAACAACGCAAAAAAGTTAAATGTCGAACCTTATTGTCAGTCATCATCTTCCCCATCACAATGGCCCGAATGAGACGGCTAAATCCGCACTTCAAAACACAATCTAATCGTCCAGCACAGACCGAAATAAAAAAGCAGGGGCAACCATCCAAATATTGTCGCATTCAACCACCCATTTGGATAATCGTTCTACTATTCATTTTATTTGGATCTCTGTTATTTGGCTATCGAGCTCGATGGAATGTCACAGGGTCAACACCAATACAAACAAAGAGTAACGAATTATCGTCCATCAATACGGCGTTAGAGAATTGTACCATATCCTTTATCCCTCCACAAGCACGACCAGAAAATGATTGGCGAAAACCACTGTGGATTCCTTCCTTTCCATCCTCGGGTTCTTCCAGTCCAAGGTAGGGTCGTACGAAAGACTTGATTATTGTGTGATGATGCATTCAAGATAAATGCTCATACCTATTGCATGTGTGTGTATGTGTGTGCGTTCCTGTCACATAGCAACAAGGGAGATATCGTCAAGGATTTGATTGAGAAACTATTTGGTGCGTATTTCGAAATCCATTGCGGTGTCATGCAGCTGGACTGAACAAAGCTCTAACATGGTTGTTTTTTTCATCAAACCATGTAGGCAAACAGGGTGCCGTCAAGAATTATCACATGTCCATGAAGAATAGACTGAGGAGATGTAAAGGAGTCAGTGAGACGGTAGGCTGTTCGCAGGGTAAGGAGTAATCATCATACTATTGATTGACTAGACCGTCCATGACTCATCCTCAAATCTGCTCATGCATCGTAGGTCATCCATACGTTCCTGTTCAGCCAGAGCAACAAGTGAGTAATCATATTGCTATAGCTACGAGAATGCCAATGCAAGTCACCAAGTTCTATTGACACACAACTACTACTTCCCAACAGACCCAGAACTTTCAGTCCAATGTCATTTTCGTTCTGAGGAATTTCATGACCGCCTTTCCAGCAGAGCATACCGATAAGGGATTTGCATACCATGGGAACAAGGGACAAGGTACGATTGTCGTTTAATGCTGCTTTTGATCTTGCAAGAATGCTTTGGCTTAAAAGTTTCTTTCATACTCCTTCTTTTAGCTCCCGAAGACGGATGGAGAGATGTTCGGGACAAGTACATTGAATCCAGCATGAAGGCGTGGAAGGATGTCTTGCAATGGTGGAATACCGCAGATTATTATAAGATTGCGACCTATGTGCCTTATGAAAAGCTTTTGAATCCGGGAACAGGACCTGCCATTGTCCAGAAACTGGCGGACACGCTGGCCGAATCTGGATTTGAAGTGGCTCCGAGAGAGGACATCCCATGCATATGGTACCAAGTAATATCGAAAGAGATTGCTCGTCAAAAGGCTCTACAAGTGTATACTCCTGGTTTTACACCCGACCAACGGAAATTCCTGCTGACAGAGTTGAACAGTCTCATTCAGTCCTATTCCAACCTTCCATCAGGTACTACAAAGCAGGAAGAGTTGGTATCCATATTGGAGGGGTACCGAGACGAAGTTCAATTCAAGATGAGGATCGATAAGCCATCAGCTAATAAGTAAAATATAATTAGATAATGCAAGAAGATGGCAGCCTGCAACGTTGTACTTGAATTCATTCTACCGGTACTACCAATTTTCGTGGAATAGACGGACGAATAGCGGACAAATAATTATTTGAGTGGCGGACCAGTGCGACTCAATACAACTGATGCTGCCGGAATGACAACAATTGAAGATACACAGTCCAAGTACATCATTTCAGCAAAAACCAACAACCTAATGAATGGGGTAAAAGCTTGTTCGAGACATATCACTTCTCGATATCTGGGAGCTCGTACAGTACGACAATCGGTAACTCGATCCTTCAGTTCGACGACCACTAGCCATGCAAAGACTGACAGTAACCATCCTGATTCTCTCAAGTTTGTCAGCCATTTCCAGAGCCCTGTCGTCCAGCAACTATGGGTAGCTCGGCAAGAAGCCAAGGCGAATGTGACTGCAACGGATCAATCACTACCTCGCGTGCCAAGGCAATCAACGACCAGCGTATCGTACCCCTTCTCGACCAACGAGTTTCTGAAAGAGTCCTATCGGAATCCGTGGGGGCAGGTTCGCTTTGGAAAGATTTTGGAAGATTTGGATGCTTTGGCTGGAAATATTGGTACGCAACATAATGGTCGACTAACTATTTGAAGTGTTGCCATCGTTCTATGAGACGAATCTTGGCATGCACTTGGGCTACAGGCGACGCCTTACTCATTTGATACTCCCTCGTTTCAACCAAAATCTGCAGCATTTGCGCACGTCCAAGATCCTGCCATGACGATTGTCACCGCTAGTGTTGACAAGATCCATATATCGAAGGTATCGAGCTTGGAAACAGATTTGGTATTGTCAGGAAAGGTGACGTATGTCGGTTCCAGCTCTATGGAGATTCGGATGCAGTGTCGCAATTTGGACGACTCGGAAGATGAGTACTGGCTGGAAGCATTCTTTACTTTTGTAGCGACTGATCCCGAAACCAAACGTCCCGTCAAGATTGCTCCCCTGAAGCCAGAATCACTGCTGGAAGAACGGCATTTTGCCGCAGGCAAGCAAAGAGCCACTGCGAGAAAGGAAGCCCGAAAGGCACGCAAGGAAGCTTCTGGGTCGATCGGTGCTACAAGTGGAAAGTTTGGAGCGATTGCCAAGGATCTCATGGACCAAGCAGGACCGGTCATCAATATGCCCAGTATTTCTTCCCCAGATAAAATTCTCATGGCCCAAACCGAACTGCAGAATTGTGAACTTGCGCAACCACAAACTAGAAACATGGCATCTCAAATCTTTGGCGGATTCCTCATGCGGAAAGCATACGAGCTGGCCCACAGCACTGCTTACATTTTCGGTGGAACCTTGCCCACTTTTTATGAAGTAGACGAAGTTTCCTTTGGCATGCCAGTCAACGTAGGAGATTTACTCAAGTTCAATTCTCGTAAGTTCCAACACACATGGTCGAAAAGTCGCCACTCAGACTAATTCTGTTGCATCTGAAAACAGGAGTAATGTACACCTATACCAGTTCCGACAAATCAACACTCCGTTGCTTTGATGGGCTGTCGCAAACAGTGTCCGTGGAAGTGGAAGCCTGGGTGATTGACCCAATTCATCACTCCGCCAAGCTGTCCAACAAATTCTATTTCACCTACGCGATGCCTTCTGATGTTCCACTGAGACGGGTCTTGCCGTCCAATATGGAAGAAGCAAGAAAGATCGCCACACGAATGCAAGCAGATCACATCCAAGCACTAGAATAAACGAGACCATCATAGTAGGAGGTCTGGCGAATAGAGTACTGCTGTAGTCTTTGGCGGAATCTTTTAAAAATACATCGCCAACGCTCTTTCGTCATCTATCCTTGTATTGTAGACTTTCCATGTGGGAGGAAACAGGTGTAATGCTACCGCAAAATTAAATGCTGGCAAGTGCTTGACAGTGTTATGTTGCATTACTAGTAGCACGGTGTGAGTGTCACAACTCTTTCCCGAGATGACTAGGATATTCGAGCTTATTTAGTCCCTTCAAACCAAGACAAAAGATATTTCATCACTGATCGAAATATTTACAATCTTCAAAACCTACCGGTATACTTCTCGTCCTTATTGTCCAAATGTGCCATCCCCGACGATTGATACTACTCCTTCTATCACTTGTCTCTCGGAATAAAAGTAGGGTTGTTGGATATCAGTCTAGTTTCCACTCAATAAGGTCAATCAAACCACGGATATCAAGGAGAACGTCAAGATTCTTGCATGACACCAGACCAAATGAGATCGCGTCGTCTGCATTCCCTTTGCTCGCCACTGATCCTTTCATCGAGTCAGATACCTCCAATGATAAGCAGCTTTCGGCTGATTCCATCTTTTTCGACATTGAAATTCAAGGAACTCCCGTTGGTCGGTTGATCTTTCACCTGACGAATCCATCTCCACTGCCACTTCACGCCGAAAACGTTATTCAGCTTGCCAAAGGATCACGCCGTGGAATAGACCCAAATGCGCACTACGAAGGCTGTGAGTTTGACTACAGCCCTGCAACGATTGAAGATGGCATGGGGCGGTATCGATGGGGCCATTCGTTGCGAGGGCGCGGACGGAATGCGATTGGAAGAGCAGATCAAGCTATCGTCGATAGAGAGAACCAGCTTCAGGCCACACATTCTTGCTTTGGCGGTCCATATTATCGAGTCGAGTACACCCTGCCCGATGAAGAGACGGATCCAGGAGTATTCTTGACCGTTCCCGTACTTGGTCCAGGCCATGGAAGCAGCAAGTTTTCGATTGTCAGAGTTGGTGAATCTCCAAAGGAGTGGCAAGAACGATTGCTCATCAACAGTGGTGTAATAGGTAAGCTCGATCCTTCTTGTATAGAGGTTTTATATACGATGGCAAGGCAGAGAATAGGACCACCAAAGGTGTCTAAAGCAGGCGCTATGGAATCGGGAGAAGAATTGGATATCGACTAGATTCTACAAGTGTTGTATCAATAGATCAAGTTCCAAGCTTCGATGATGTAGGCTCTAATATTGGTACAAGTGTTGATACATAGAGAGTATTGCCAATTGTCATAGTGTGTACTATCTACCGCACCGATGTAGATCTATGCGCGCTCTTCAGGACAAACCCAACAGTCTCTAGTGCATCTATTTCCACTTCGGTCAAGTGATCTGTTCCCAACGAGGGCTCTGAAATGGCATGCAAAAAGGCGGCTTCCAAACGTTTTCGAAGCATTACCAATCCGGATGCCACATCGCTTCTGCACCTGAAGATAACCCAATCGTCTAGATTCAATATCGAAGAACGATCGTCGCTGGTATCAGGACGAACACTCAGGGACACTCCGCAAAGGAGTAGCAATGGTAGCGGTGATGCCAAATGCGTCGTTTGAGACATTGTGAAATGACGGTTTCCCCTGCAAGAAGTGAGAATTTCAAAAGAATATATAAGCTTCAATTCGTATATAAAGCAAGCAAAGCATCACTAACGACTTACTTGACCATGTCACCGAAGCATACAAACTCAACCTCCCCTTCTGGTACTTGGCACTTTGCATTCAAAGGCTTTTCAAAGAGCAACTGGTGAGGGAACACTGGCAATTCAGAACCTCTCGGAGCAAATGAAGACTTACCTGGCCCTTCACGGAATTAACACTGCTCACGTGAATTTTGGCCTTGCGGTTGGTCATGGTGGAAAAGTTGACTTCGCCCATCTTTCTCGTGGCGACGTTAGGGTACAGTCCAGCTGAGATGGCTGCCTGCCAAAGAGCTTCTTCTTTATGATGCCGATTGTGAAAGCCATTGGTATCCATTGGATTTGCAAACTGCAAAGAGTCTAGCTCCCTTGAGATGTTGCGCCGAAGATCGGAAATCTTATCCAAGAGTTAGTATACATCACGGTTCAGACGACTGAAAGGGATCGGGAACTTACCATTTGGATTGTAGCTCCGTTCAGGAAATTGCGGCGGCAGAATTCTCTACCTTGTGCGTTTGATTGCTTCCTTGACCGATCGTACTCCATCAATGCGTTAAAGACAGTCACTTGGTCGCTTTCGGAGTTTTTCGATAAGAACACCTGTCTTTTTTCAGCGTCTTGCCTTTGATGTTGAGGTGGCAACACAAAGGGACTCTTGTAGCTCATTGCCACGGCCATTTGGGAGGTAGCCCGGGCACATCCAAGTAGATAGGACCAAATGACCATTTTGCCAACCCGTGGCTCCAAACTGAGTACAGAAAGACAGTACCCAAGGTCAGTGAGATCGTTTGTCTCTGGAAGCATTGCACCTAGATCCACGAGAAGTTCAATGGCATTGGAGACTGACTTTTCATGAGGTGCTGAAATTGCCTTGCCCAAGAATGCTGGAATCCCATCTGGGTCTTCGTAACCCCCAGATGCTAGCCCCAGTTTCTTTGTCATCAGACACATCTCCTCCAAGGGGGTCCTCAGTAGCTCGCTTTCTACGAATTCTCGCATCGAATCATGCCGCCTGCTCGAAAAGAGGTGAAAGCATACACCAGCTTTTGTACGACCAGCTCGGCCTTTACGCTGCTTCGCCGAGGCTTTGCTGATCCAGGTCGCCTGAAGAGTGCTGGTCTTCAAATGTGGATCATAATCTTTCTCCTTCGCCCGACCAGTGTCCACGACGAAGGAAACATCGTCAATCGTCAGCGAAGTCTCAGCAATGTTTGTGGATAGAACAATCTTTCGGACGCCTTTGGGTGGATGCTGCAACACCTTTCGTTGGGCCGAACTTGGAATTCCGGAATGGAGTGGTAGAATAAGGTATCTATTCTGATTGTGAAAGGGAGCATTGGATTCCAATAGTAACGAAAATTCGGATATTTCCATCCATCCGGGAAGGAAAACGAGAATGGCACCATCTCCTTTCGACGACTTGATGATGTAGTGAAGGACTTCCAAGAGCAGCATTGTGTCCACGGTTTCATCGTCATGCATCATTTGATACCTGTCAAGCAATTTGTCCTCCAAGGCTACATCCTGCACAGGACCTTTTTCATATGTTCCTATTCCATCCCAAAGCTGGCTCTCGTCGATAGCAACAGATTCTTTTTCCGGCATGGCGTCGTCGCTCGCTGGTCTGTCTGCAACGTTGTACTCGTCGAGTTCTGCAGTCTCTTCGACGTCATACTCTTCAAACGCATCCATATTGTACGCTTGGTCCACAGAGTCCCCATCTGCTCCTGCTCCCGAAAGTCCAAATGAACCGTCCACATCACCTCCCAACATGGCTCGGAGTGCATTGTTGGATTCATCCGCCAGAGGTTTCGGCTGTTGAGGAGCCATCAATTTGGCCAACTCCAATTCCAGCTCATCCATGGACATGGGAGCATCCGCTTCTTGGTCCAAGGTTTTGGGGTCAATGTATTCTGTCATCTGAAGTATATGCTCCAAGAAGAATTCTTGCACTGGGAAAGTCCGTCCTTCAATTTCCAGCTTGACAGGAGGATGCTGTTGGTAATATGGATGATCGCTTTTTGTAAAATACCCCATCAAGATGTCGGTCTGCAAGGTGGCACTCATGAGCACTAGTCGCAAATCCGGTCGCTGTGGCAGCAAATCTCGAAGAGTAATCATTAGGAATTCTGTATATTTGTCCCGTTCATGAACTTCATCAATGACGATGTGCGTGTATTCGGCCAGTCGCGGCGAGCTTTGAAGCTTGCGCAGCAATACTCCTGGCGTCAAGAAAAGTAATTGGGTATCATTGCTGGAGGCAGCTTCCAACCGAACTTGGTATCCGATCAGTCCGCCCACTGATTTCTGTAGACATTGTTCTTGGCCCACCCGTTCGGCAATGGAAATAGCACTAATGCGGCGGGCTAAGTACAAAAAAGGTAAGAGACAAAAGTTGAGTCAGTGACGAACAGGAAAACCAACAGCACACAAAAAGAATTAAAGACATACGTTGGGTGACAACAATATTGGCTTCTGGATTGGCGTCAAGCAAGAATTGAGGACATTGGGTACTCTTTCCACACCCGGTTTCTCCTTGAATGACGACGACTGGATTGGCTGCCACTGTGGCAACAATTTCTTGTTGTCGCGAGTACGCCGGAAGCCTAGCCCTGGACGCAGTGGCCTTTTTGTATTCTTGGGCATTGGCAGTTTTCTGTTGCTGATAAAAGGCATGTCGGGATCGTCGCCGATCCAAATCTACACGTTTCTCGCGAGGTTGCACAATGTTCGCCCCCTTGGCCACACCCAGTCCCAAGCGATTCAAGGTGTTGCTGAGATTCTCGTCGTCATTGCCATCTTTCCCCAGAATGGCATTTACCAACGAGGATCCAGTTTCTTTCGATTCGTTTTCTTCTTCTTTGGATAAAGGAAACTTGCTAATGTGTTGCTTCAGAATATTGATGCCACTCTTGCCAATATTGAGGACAGGCATGGATTCCTCATCTCCCGTCTTCTTCTTGGTCTCTGCCCGCTTGGTGACAACAATATGTCGGTTTTCTCCCTTGCCCGTTGATTTCGAGACCAAACCAAGTTGGGCAGCAAGCTCATGAGTGAATTTTCGTTCCGTATTGGTCAATGTTGGGGGGAATTCAAGCCGAGTATCTTCTCCTTCCCGAAGGTTCATCAAGATTTTGGTGAGCCGAATGCGATCACCTTCTGACACCGTATGGGCTAAAGAAAGTTCCGTGAGATATTGCATCCAGTACTTTACCATGCCTCATAATGCTTCCCTACTTACAATCAGCCCCCTTTTCTCCATTCTTTAACACTGGTTTCTGCTGCTTATTGGCAGCGGATCGGTTTCCATTATTATATTCTGAGTTATTTCCTCGTCGATCCTGTTGCACAGAGGACCCAGTCGCATTGGAATTGTTGTTGTTGTTGTTGTTGTTGTTGCTGTTGTAATTGCCTCGTCCTCCCCTTCCTCGACCGCCGCGTCCTCGTCCTCTCCCTCCTCTACCACGACCGCCACGGCCTCCTCTACCACGTCCACCATTGTTGTCTGTACCAGCACCTCCCCCGGCACCTCCTCCGGCATCGGCACCTCCACCAGTCTTCTTTCGGGGCATGGTGCGATGCTTCGATGATTACTATATACTCTATGTCTACCGGTATGATTTTTCAAATCGAAATGCATTGGAATGGCCTCCAGACTTCCGTTTATATAATTGAGACTGATTCAGGCGCTTTCGTCGCATGAATGAATGAATCAATCGTGAGTGATTTGAGTCTTGCTAGAACGGTCGTATCAAAGAAAGATCTTTTTTTTGAGAATCCGGAGTTGTTGGTGTCATCAACCTCGCAAAAATTGGACCGTTGTCAAAAGAATCAATCCCATACAGTAATTCTATATCCAACTAACTAACTACACACACACACACACACACAAAAGCCACAGTCATTTAGTTCCCACAGCATCACTCTCACTAGTCCTCTCTACTGATCATGAAGATTGATAAAATTGATGAAAAGCTGCCCACGGAAAAGGGAGGCTCTGCCAAAACCAAACGATTGGAAATCTGGAAGAAATTCAACGTCAATGGGAATGCCTACTTGAGTCTGGCCGAAGTCGACAAGGGTTTAGCAGGGATGGATTTGCCGGCCATTTCCAATAACAAGCAAGTCATCATGAGAGCCTTTCAAGCAGCCAAAGGGGCTCATAATTCTCCAGAAGATGATGATCTTGGAGAAGAGTACATCGAACGCTCCGAATTCCGACTACTCTTTGTTTATCTCAAGAATTACTTGGAACTCTGGCAACTTTTTGATGACATTGATTCAGGCGACGATAAGAAGATTAACCAAGAAGAATTTGAATCGGCAGTTCCCACCATGAAAGCTTGGGGAATGACCATGAAAGATCCAAAGGCTAGTTTTCAAGAAGCCGATGCTAATGGTGGAGGAGAAATCTTATTTGATGAATTTGCTCACTGGGCCATTCAAAAGGCCTTGAAGGTTCAGATAGATTTGGGACCAACTTCCCCGATGGCCAAGAAGAAGAGAACAGTTGGAAGCCCCAGCAAGACCAAGCGTGCCACGAATACGAGTCCTACCAAAAAGAAGAAGAAGCTCACTGCATTGGATTGGAAAAACATCAACAATCGACTGCCTTCGGCCAAGACGGAAGACCATAAGACTAAGCGCAAAAGATTGTGGCAAAGCTTCAACGTCAATGGAAATGCATATTTGAGTTTGGCCGAAGTCGATAAAGGTTGTCGGGAAGTCTTGAAACTCCCCGAGATCGCCAACAACAAGACTGTCATTATGCGTGCCTTTCAAGCAGCCAAGGGAGTTCATAACGCTCCTGGAGAAAAGGATATGGGCGAGAACTACATAGAGCGTTCCGAATTTCGATTGCTCTTTGTCTACTTGAAAGGCTATCTCGAACTCTGGAGACTCTTTGAAGAAATTGATTCCAGCAAGGACAAAAAGATCAATCGAGACGAATTTCAATCCGCAGTTCCAACCTTACAAAAGTGGGGGATTCCCATTGATAATGCAGAGGATACCTTTAACGAAGTAGATGCCAATGGTGGCGGGGAAATCCTATTTGATGAATTTGCCGATTGGTCCATTCGAAAATCACTTGCGGTGGAATTCGAAGTGGATATGGCGCCAACGCCACTGAAATCAAAGGAAGCCAAGCCTGATCAAGTTGAAGCCAATCCTACAAAAGATGATGAAAAAGAAGATACTGCTTCTGATACAGAAACACCCGCGGGATCTTCGTTCGACTGGGAAGTAGTCAAAGACAAGTTGCCTGCAGAAAAGACAGAGGAGCAGACTGCCCAGCGAAAGGAGCTCTTTGACAAGTTTGATCCTAATGGAAATGGATACCTTTCCTTGGCCGAAGTCCAAAAAGGCTGCGAAGAGGTCATTGCCGTTCCTGAAATCTACGAGAACAAACCCGTAATGATGCGTGCCTTTCAAGCAGCCAAGGGCGTGTCCAATTCTTCTAGCAGTGACATTGGCGAATACTACATTGAACGATCTGAGTTCCGTCTCCTGCTACTCTATTTGCGCAACTATCTGGAAATCTGGCAAATCTTTGATAAAATTGATACTGGCGACGACCGACGCATCAACTTGGAAGAGTTTCAATCAGCGGTTCCCACGATGGAAGGTTGGGGCATCGAAATCGAAGACGCCGAAGCAAGTTTTGCCGAGATCGATGCCAATGGAGGTGGCCAGGTTCTGTTCGATGAATTTGCGGATTGGTCTATCAAGAAGGCCCTGGTTCTCGACTTTGAAGTTGTTGAGCCAGCATCAGCAAAGCCAGCAAATGATGATGACGATGATGGTTTCGATGCATCTTTGGACGACATTCTCAGTGAGGATGGCGATCTGGGTCTTGACGATGAGCCCGAACCGGCGTCCCTGGACTGGGAAAAGATCAAAGAAAAGCTACCCACCGAAAAGACTGAGGAACAGAAAACTTTGCGCAAGGAACTCTTTGATGCCTTTGATCCGAATGGCAACGGATACTTGTCCTTGGCCGAAATACAGCGTGGTGCTGAGCAAACCATCGGTATACCTGAAATCTATGAGAACAAACCAGTGATGATGCGTGCATACCAGGCTGCGAGAAGCGTGGCCAACAAAAAGACCCCAGATGACGCCGAAGACGGCGAAGATGC